AGCTAAATCGCCCCGTCTACTGCCTTAAACAAGCCCCTCGGGAATGGCACAACAAAGTGAAAGAAGTCCTTTTCTCCCTGGACTTCCACCCATCATCTGCTGACCCGACTCTCTTCATCCGCCGTCATTCTGAGCCATTCTACATCCTGGTCTACGTCGATGACTTCATCCTCGTTGCCAAGGACTCGGCCCAGATGACCTCTGTCCAGACGGCCTTGAGCAAGCCCCTCCAGATGAAAGACCTCGGTGACCTCAAGCACTACCTGGGGATGGAGATCACTCGTGATCGCAAGGCTCGCACCATTTCACTCTCCCAGGAGTTCTACATCAACAATGTGCTCAAGCGGTTTGAGATGGAGCTGTGCACACCCGTTGCCACCCCTCTGCCACTGCAACACCTCCTCACAGCCCCAGCTGTACCCACACCAGAGGCCTGCTCTGAGCCATACCCAGAGCTTGTTGGGTCCCTCATGTACGCCATGATGTGCACCCGACCGGACTTGGCAGATCCAGTCAGTGTCCTCTCTCGCTACGTGGCCCCTGGACGCTTCACTGATCTTCACTGGAAGGCGGCAAAACGGGTGTTACGCTATCTCCAGGGCACCAAGTCTCACGTTCTCACACTTGGTGGGCTCTCCCCTCCTCGGCTGGAAGGCTACACTGACTCCTCTTGGGCTGATGACCAGACCGACCGACGCTCCTCTCAGGGGTACTGCTTCACCCTTGGGAGCGGAATTGTCAGTTGGCGCTCCACCAGGTCGTCTGCAGTCTCCCTCTCCTCATGTGAGGCAGAGCTCTACGCAGGCACCATGGCTGCTCAGGAGGCTCGTTGGCTCACTTTCCTACTCCAGGAGCTGGGCTTCCCTCAGTCCACCCCCACCCTCTGGTGTGACAACCAGAGTACTATCCACCTCTCCCAGGACCCTGTGTATCACACTCGCACCAAGCACATCAAACTTCGGCACTTCTTCATCCGTGACCTTGTCCAGCGAGAGCAGCTGAACGTGGAGTACGTTGCATCTGACTGCAACCTAGCTGATCTGTTCACCAAGCCCCTTGGGAAAGTTTCTCATCACCATCTCCTTGGCGCCATGGGGCCATGTGCTCCACCTTCTCTGCCCTGAGTTCGATTGACGCCTATGGGGGGGTGTTAATGTTAGCCATCAATCTCACACTTTGTACTTTATATATTTATATCCTAGAGTAGTGTAGTTTGCACATTGTGTTTGGTTGGGTGTACACCCACATCCCAACCAAACCCAAATGTAATCTCCAAGCAATCTCCAACCCACCAATTGGAGATTGCCTTGGGATTACCCCCAATCCCTAGGGATTGCCCCCGATTTCCTTCCCCATCCATTCCTTGCCCTTCTTGGATGTACTTAAAGAGCTTCAAGCTCACTACTAATGCATCAGTTGTAAGCCTAAGCTCTGACATCCAACCCCTTGCATGTGCCACTGCCACAAGAAATCAGCCATCTCACCGCCCTCTCCTCCCTCTTATGTGATCTCCGCTCCCCTTACCTTCCCACCCTCCATACTCCCAGCGTAATGGATTCCAACCCCTTGCATGCGCCACTGCCACAAGAAATCAGCCATCTCACCGCCCTCTCCTTCCTGTACGCCCACCTCACCTCAAGAATATATGATGTAAAAAGTACAAGTACAAAAGCTGAGATTGAGGGCTAGCTCTAACAGCCGTCTCCTTCCCCGCACCGCACGCTCTCCTTCCTGCACATACTCCATCCCATCCCACTCCACCCCACGCACATTCAATGCCACCCCCACCCCCCCCCCCCCTGCCTTGCAAGCTATGATGACTCTTATGTGTCAATCGTCATTGACGCTTTCGTCAAAACGGTAGTGGTTAGTTGTATGCTCGGGCGGGCAGGCAAAAATTAATCAGGCAGGCAAAATCAAATATTGGGTAGAAACATCAATTCCGGGCTGCCCAACAAGAATTCTTCGCAGCGTCAACGTTTTGGCCATCCCGTGTGTTTTGATGCTTGACGTTTGCAGATTGTAGCGTCAAAGCCTCGTAGCCTGAAAGCCACCCCCACCTGCCCACCTCTAAAAGCAACGCCACCCCCCACCCACCCACCCTCCTCGGCCCCAGGAGCATGGCACGGAATGGCCTTTCTGGCCCGCTGCCTTCAAAAGTTGCCTTTTGAGGCACCGCCTCAAACAACGCCATGTCACCACCCCCAATCCCACCCGCCCACCCACCCTCCCCTGCCACAGGAGCATGGCATGGGATGGCCTTTCAGGCCCGCTTCCCGACACCATCGGTGCCCTCACCGCCCTCCAACAATTGTAACCAGCGCCTCTCTCCTTTGCACTGCCTAACCCTTTGATTCATCAGGTAATGCAGTAACTTGGACTGCAGTTGCTGCAGCTTGTGCTTTCGTGCGTCTGCAGTGTCACCTCTCTTTTGGCCCTTCGTGCTGACTGCTTTACATCCACATCATTGCACATCTCTTGCTCATCGCACATCTCTTGCTCATCGTGCATCTCTTGCTCATCGCACATCTCTTGCTCATCGTGCATCTCTTGCTCATCGCACATCTCTTGCTCATCGTGCATCTCTTGCTCATCGCGAATCGTCCCTCCCATCCCATTGGATGTCCCATTGTCTCTCCCATTGCATGCCCCATTGTCTCTCCCATTGCATGTCCCATTGTCTCTCCCATTGCATGCCCCGTCGTTCACCACCAGATATGCACAATCCAACGCCTTCACAGGAAGCATCCCCTCCACCATTGCTACTCTTTCCCGCCTCGAGTCCTTGTGAGCTGCACACGACTCTTTGCACCTTTGGGACTCGTTAACCATGTTTCTTCTTGCATCTGAGTGTTTTCAAGAGCGGCCAAGATGCTGCGCTCGAGGGTCCTTGTACCCTCTTTCCTTGCTTGTTCTTTTTGCTTCCTCCATCTGCTGGTCTTGCACTAGGGATGTGCATGGGGAGAAGTCCGTGCGGGGAAAATATTCCTTTTTGGCTGTGTCCGTCCCACCCCCCACACGCGCGACACGTGCATCGCAGGGTGCTGAGCCAGAACCCCTTTCTCACATGCGTGGCAGGTTGCTAAGCATGAACCCCTATCTCACGGGATCCCTGCCTCGCGCCCTTTCCCACCTCACCACCCTGCAGCAGCTGTCAGCCCCCAAACCCTGCCTCTCCTCCTGTAATCTCTCACATTTTTTCTTGTTATTTGTTTTGTTTTTTTTTTTTTGTTTTTTTTTTTTGGGTGGTGCAATTACATACATCTGGCCACCCACCTCTCAGCATGTAATAGCGGGCATGCCAAATTGCCAATTTGTGCGGATCGGATCTGCTGTGTGGTCCAAATGCGGGTCTGATGACCCGACTAGGATAAGGACCCAAAGGCGGTGTTGTGTCACATCACATCTGGCCCGTTCATTGCCCATAAATCGTCGGTACGGGTCGCAAACTTCTGGGTAGGCATGAGACTAGACCCGACCTGGGATTTTGCCTGGGTCAGGCCGCCGACCCTACCGGTTCTTTTCGAATACACCCAGTCGGGTCGGGTCTACTCGTGTCCCGATTCATGAAATCGGGCCGGGTCAGGTCGGGTCTTGACTCAATATTGACCCAGACCGAAATCGGGTCACGTATCCAGAAATCGGGCTGAGCCTGGCTGTTGGGAGCATTAGCCGTAAAAAAACTATGGGCTGGAGGGTATCAGATATGGGCTAAAAGGTGTTGGTACTAGTGAGAAACAAAAAAAAGGCAAAAAATACACACACACACACACTGATAAACTCTGTCCCAAAAATAAAGGTAAAAGCTAGGGATGAGCAGAGGCCGAACTCGAACAGGTTCGAGTTCGTCCTCTGTCGAACAGCTCGAACAGCCGAACCGAACACTGTTCGGTTCGGCGAACGATTTCCGCCGACACAAGTGTTCGCCGTTCGCCTATGAAGGCGTGTTCGGGCGAACCTCGAACACGTTCGTGTTCGTTGCGGGGCAAATTGCAGCCGCGGCCCGAACACGAACATGTTCGGGCGAACCTCGAATTAACCAACCAACCAACAAACCATACATACACTTAGCCTTGCTTTGGTCATCCGCACCACAAACTCCCCCGTTTGTGCTCCCCAATATTCGACCTGTCCAATTATCTCCACATTCTGTTCAAGAGAATCGTTTCCATACTCAAACATGCCACCCATCCCCCATCCCATAGGCCCACCTATTTCGCACCCTAACCCTTCATTCTTTCCCCCCGTCTTATTCCCCCCAGCACCAATCCCCAGACCGCCTCCCCCTCCTCCTCCTCCTCCTCCGCCGTCCCTCCCCCCTCCACCTCCTCCCCTTATCATCGCGGCCCTCCTCGCCTCCCCTCCTCCTCCCGCTCCTCTCACCTCCTCCCTCTCACCATCCACGATTGCCGGGGCAGCAGCGGGTGCAGCAGTGCTGCTGCTGGTTGTGCTGGTGGGGGGGGGATGGGGGCTGTGGTGGTGGAGGCGGGAGCAGGCACGAAAGGGGGAGGTTATGAGTGAGTGGGCAGGGGAGAAAGGGGAAAACGGGGATGAAGAAGGCATGTGATGTGATGCGATGTGATGTGATGTGATGTGATGTGATGTGATGTGATGTGATGTGATGTGATGTGATGTCATGTCATGTCATGTCATGTCATGTCATGTCATGTCATGTCATGTGATATGATATGATATGATGGATCGGTGGATGAGTGAGTCTTGTAGTTTTGAGGCGCCTCAAAACTAGGAGGCATGTGATGCGGTGGGTCTTTATCCACGTGGGTACCCACATGATCAAAGTGTCATTTTGAGATGCGGGACTTTATCCCCACTTTTCCGTCCTCTCAAAACATCACTTGTATTAGAGGGCAGGAAGTGGGGATGAAGGAGGCATGTGATGTGATGTGATGTGATGTGATGTGATGTGATGTGATGTGATGTGATGTGATGTGATGTGATGTGATGTGATGGGTGGGTCCTGTAGTAGGGCATGTGTCGCCATGCCAGGGAATGTAGTGGTGGGTGGAGTGGAGTGGAACGTGTAAGGGTGGGGGGGCGAGAGTGTGTGAGTATAGGTGGGTGGGTGGGTGTGAGTATCTGTGTAAGTGTTTTTGTATGTGTTGGTGTGTGTGTGTTGTTGCACCTCCCTTTCAACAGCGCCTATCAATTTCCTTTCTCTCGCCCCTCTTCCTTTCTCTCGCCCCTCTTCCTTTCTCTCGCCCCTCTTCCTTTCTTCCCCCCTCTATTCCCTCCGTCTGCTCATGGGTCCTCATTCGCCGCCGTATTCACTCCCCTCGTTCCCTTCATTCCCCCTCATTGCCCCGCTCCCCTCATTCCCCTCTTCCCCTCATTCCCCCCTTCCCCTCATTCCCCTTTCCCCTCATCCCCCTCCCCCTTGCAGCTCCTTCCATGCTCAAGCGCACCCTCCCCTGCCCTCAAATCCCCCTTGCTGACGTCATCAGGGCCACCAATGGGTGGGCAGAGGGGCGGAGGGTAGGGGGAGGCAGGTGGAGTGACGTGTACAAGGGGGTATGGGGGGAGTGGACGGGGGAGGTGGAGGGGGAAAGGGGCAAGGAGGGGGGAAAAGGCAAGGAGGGGGAAAGAGGCAAGGAGTGGGAAAGAGGCAAGGAGGGGGGAAAGGGCAAGGAGGGAGGTGAGGCGGAGAACAATGATGGGGAAGGAAGAGGGGGAGAGGGGAAGCGGGAAGGGGGAGAGAGGAAGCAGGAAGGCGGAGATGCGGGGGGGGCGTTGCAGAGGAAGCAGGGGGTGCGTGCAGGGAGGGGGAGGGCGCGGGGGCGGGGGGGCGTGTGGGCAGTGAAGCGCATGAAGGGGGCACCGCAGTGGGCGTCTCTGGAGGCCCATGCGCTGGCCTTGTCGCGAGTGGGGCACCCCAACGTGCTCCGCCTCGTGGGGTGGTGCTGCTGGCAAGGTATAGCGGGCAGCGAGGCTGAAGGGGGCAGCGAGGCTAAAGGGGGCAGCGAGGGGCTGCAAGATGCAGGGCAGCGGGGAGAGAAGGGGGGCGGGAAGGAGGGGGGAGAGAAGAGGGGCGGGCAGGAGAGGGGCGAGGAGGGGGGCAGGCAGGAGGGGGGAGAGAAGGGGAAAGAGGAGGGGGGAGAGGAGGAGGTCGGGCGGTTGGGGGGAGAGGAGGGGGAAGAGGGGGGGCAGGTGTTGGTGTACGAGTGGATGGAGAGGGGCAGCTTGCAGGCGGTGCTGCAGGCAGGTGAGCTTGTTGGAACTGAGCTTGTTGGAACTGAGCTTGTTGGAACTGAGCTTGAACTGGTACATTAGTGGCAGGTGCGCTCACAGTGGCAGGTGCGCTCACAGTGGCAGGTGCGCTCACAGTGGCAGGTGCGCTCACAGTGGCAGGTGCGCTCGCAGTGGCAGGTGGACCTCCTGCAGCTGTACGAGGGCCTAGGAGACGAGGCACAGAGCAAGGCAGCAACATCTGCCATTCTTGCAATCGCCTCAGACGACTCCAGGAAGGGCGTCAAGGACTTTGTCACGGCAGTTGAGCAGGACGAGGCCATCGGCATAGCACGCGAGGACCTGCCTGAGAACGTTGGTCCTGCCGTCGCCCTGTTGCTGGCATCGTGGGGTGTCCTGGCCTGAGTACGGCTGCAGCATTCGTGGGCCTTGACCGCAGCTCCTGTGCACGTGTTCTGAAAACGTCGCCTGTTCCATTGACACGGCCGAGGCACAGGTTTTGAAAACTGCAGACGTTGACCTAGCCAATGCCCATGACTTACTGCATCAGACCTGGCTCATGACGCTGCCCAGTCCACTTGCAGGGCCTTGCATCGCAGTCCAGTAGGCATCTGCAATAGTTGCATGTTCCAGCCTTCGATGCACGTACGTCTTCAGCCTGCCATGGGTCAGCCCAACTGCAAGCTCCTCGTCCTGTGACCTGCGCCTGGGCACCAGTCCATCGATGCTGAATGCCAGTCCTTGCCCATTGACCAACAGGCCATCGACAAGTGGCACAAAGTCAGGACCAGGCAGCGGTAACAGTTCACAGACTGACTTGAACCGTTCAATGACCACTGTCAATGCATCCAACACAGGCCTGGTGACGCCATTCTTGCACAGGGTGACCAGGATGCCGACGTCGACCAAGGGCACGTTGTTGCGCTCCCTCCTGTGCAGTAGACGTGCTATCGTGACCATGCCAGGGGACGAAAGCTTGGGCAACGTGATTAGGTTCAGCCCTGGGGCTTTGACTAGGAGGTTGACGATGTGCTCTGTACGTGTGACAGGGTTCTGAACGTTGTCAGGGAACCAGCGCCTGGAAGATGCCTGAATCGACTCACGCAGGCAGCGGTTCAGGCCCAGCAGCAGGACGGCTATGACCTCGCTGCTTGACTTGTAGCTGACACCAGCCGCGGCGCCCTGCAAGGGCGCCGTGGTTGGTGTCGCCGTCGTTGCAATGCCCAGGTCACTAGCGGCATTAGCCTGACACCAGTACCCGTGTCCTGATCGTTGCCCATGTCCATGCCAGGATACAGCACGTCCTCATGCTCACGTACCCAGGCATCCTCAACTGAATCCAGGGCATGGACCGACGATGCACCAGCAATGACAGGGGGATCGGACAGGGCTGCGACCTGGGCCTGTAACTGTGTCACCTGCGAGGCCATGTCATCGATCTTCGAATCCATCAGTTCCAGCCTCCTGTTCATGTTGTCAACGGTCATGACCAGGTGCTTGATCAATGGACCGAGACCAGCTGGCAAGTCCGTCAATGACAACGCCTGTGACCCTGCCTGTTACTGGGAACCAAGTCCTCGTCTATGCCCTTGTCCTGATCCCTGCTCTGGTCCTAGTCCTGGGCCTGACGTCACGCTGGCACCAGGACTGGCCTGTGCCTGTGTCCTGGCCACCGTCATTGTGCCGTAGACGAGCTTTGGCAGTGACCTCCTCTGTGACTGGGCCTTGTCCTGGGCCTGGTCTGGGACTATTGCAGTGGGTCCAGTGATCGAGGTCATGATGCAGGCAGGGGGTCTAGGCACACGTTCCATGACAGGGCTGTGACACTCGAACAGTTGCTGTGCTAACACGTTGCAGTTTTCAAATGCCATTGACATCGTTCAACAGCCTCAGTTCAAGTACGTGAATCCCAGGCACGATCACCGAACCACGTACAGGCCACGGTGGCAGTATCTCGCCCTGTGACCCTGACAATTGCAAATAGGCACGGAGGCGCTGAGACAATGGCCTCGTACCCATAGCCTGTGCCTCGGTCATCAGTCCAGCGCTGGACCTGTAACCTGTCTCAGTCCTCCAGGCAATTGACTCAGCCAACCAGTCAGGTGCACGTGCCAGGCCTGCGATCCTCACGACCGTGCCCCAGAGTGCTGAACAGGCATCGTCATCGAATCTGGGCCAGTGCACAGTCGAGGGCCTGAACGGGTAGCCCTTGGAACTGAGTAGGACCAGGACGATGTCACAGCGCGTAGTCCCAGGCGGTGGCATTGGCAGATGGCCCCACTTGTCCTGCAGAGCCGAGTCCAGCCAATTGAGCCAGTTCACCGGCTGTGACAACAGGCCAGCCAGCACGTGATCGGAAGCCACCAGCCCATGCGCGTCCTGTACGTGCCCCCTCGTGCCCTGGTCCAGAACCAGCCGTGATCCGCCCATGAGCTCAAGCAGCTCCATAGCCTGTGCCCTGTGCGTGGGCTTGATCTGGCTCATTGTCGTATGACGTCGGTGCTAGAACTGATGCTGGCACAGACGGGTGCAGCAACGGATCATAGTACTGGGGCTCGACCCGGACGATGGCAGTTGTACATGGCCCTGCCGTTGTCCTGGCCCGCTGATCATCTGAGCGCTTTCAAGTCCAGGGTCGGTCCTGCCTCCAAGGCTGCCTCCAAGACTGCGGCCGTGCCCCTGGCCGCGGCCGTAGGCCGCGGCCAGGGGCACGGCCAACCCCAAGGCCAACCGCGCGGTCAAAGCCGCGCCCTAGTCCTAGGCCAAGACTGTGCCCGATCCCGCGGCCATGCCCTCGGCCTAGCCTATGACCAGGCCTGCGATCAGGCCTGCAACTAGGCCTAGGACTAGGCCTATGACTGGAACGTTGCCCTGTTCATGGCAGCGTCATGACCGTTTTGAACAATGCCCCAGTCAGTCAGGCCCAGCCGTTGTCATGATCAACGGCACATAGGCTGTGACAACTGCCATGATCATAGGCCCTGACTGTGACATCGACATAGCCAATTGACATCGACTGCTGCCCATTGACTGGTACAGGGATCTCAGTCATCGCCATTGACATTGAGTCTGCCATTGACAGGTAGCAGTGTCAACATCACTGGCTTTGACGTTGACTTTGACTTCGACTTTGACATCGACATCGACATTGACATTGACGTTGACACTGCCACTTGGCAACTGGCAATTGACAGCTGACACCTGCACTGTCATTGACTTCGACACTTGGATTCACAGCTCAAGAACGCCTGCAGGAACAAGATCCGCATCCTGAGTGCCGTCCTGGCCCAGGTACGTTCTCATGGCACGGGCCACGTTGGCAGGAGTGCCATTGGCCAGCGCCGGGTTCAGGATCGAGAACAGTACAAGGGCATCGGCAAGACAGCACCTGCAACAGAGACCTGAGCGCTGGTGCCTGAGAGCCCTGACGTAGCCATTGACCACGGCCTGGTGACGAGGCCTGTGATACGACCCAGGCTTTGATGACTGGAATACGATTGAGGGCTGAGATCCAGTGTCACGTGGCAGGATGGTCGATGACGTGTACCAGGCTCCAGGGTGCGAATCGGACTCGAGTACTGGTAGCATGGCAACGCACGTGGACCAAGCCTCCGTGACGACAGCGTGATCGTCCTCGTATGGCAGGCCCAGTACGTGCAGACTCGGCCCAATCAGCTCTAAGGTCGTGGCCAAGGACGTGAGCTATCGTCAAGGTACGTGGCCTGGTCATCGGGTGCACTCAGCTTGCACCAGAATACGCAGCAGGCACCGGTGGACGACCCATGATCCTGCAACAGTCCAAGGCACGTGTTAGCATCGGCCCTGGTCAAGGTGCAGATACTGGACAGGTGATCAATGCCAGGGAACTCAGGCCATGACTCCAGGTCCACAGTCAATTGCACCACCAGTCCCAGTCGAGTCATGCACAGGACCAAGGCGGACAGAACAAGTGACGCGACCCTGCTAATAGGCATTGACAGGACCAGGCGCACTGGCGACTTGGCAATTAGTGCATTGACACAGGCCACCGTACAGTTGAGCAGGACTGGGACCAGTGCAGGACACGTCGTTGACTTGGCCAGTTCACTAGGGACCTGTGACTTACCAGCTGACAGATTCAAGCCACCTGTGAACACAGGCGACAGGGGACTGGTACTTGGATCGAATGCTGAGTGGCTAACACTGCACAAGTTCCAGTGATCACAGACCTTGAGCTGATGCAGTCTCTCGTGCATAGGCCATAGCAGCAGATCCCTGTCAGACTGTGCCAGGTAATTGCCAATCAGCACGCAGGCACTGTGCATTAGATCACCAGGCACGTAGACACAGCCAGTTGTCGCTGCCATGACCATGCCACAGAGCCTGGACCAGGCCTCGGACGATGACTTGACTGGGTCCTCTGGCATTGCACGGTCCACGTACTTGACCCGTGGCTGCCGAACCGTGGCACGAGGGCTATGGATCACGGCCTGGCCCTGTTCCAATGGGACCTGGACTGGTGCAGATGCCAGCTGTGCACGTTCTGGCGCCGGTTCCAATTGCGCAGGTTGCAATGGCCGTTGTGTGCTGACTGTGGCCAGGGCAGTGCCAATGTCATCGAGCATCGCACTTGCAGTTGTCAGGATGCTGGTCGTGCTCTGTGTCATATGGAACAGGAGTCTGCCACCTGTGCCAACGGCCTGTCCTATGTACCTGAGCAAGCTACTGACTGCTGACAGTGTCAGAGTAACGGGCAGCAATAGCAGTTGAACGAGTGCCATGGCAACAGTTACAGGTGCAAGTCGAAGTTGGGCTGCAACACGTTGATGAACTCTACTGGCTGCAGTTACAGGTGCGAGTACCAAGCGCTAAGATGGCTTCCAGGGATTCTCGTACTAGGCAGCGAGCACAGAGGCAAGGTCAAGGGCGCAGTGGTCAGGTACCAGAATCACGCCGTCCTGAGCTGCAACAGCAGGCCATGATCGTTGACTCACTGGCAAGGGAACGGGCACTGCAACATGAGCCTGATCCATTGGCTGCGACCATGGCACCGTGGATCAGGATGTGCAGCTGGGGCACGTACGAGCCCTGTGACGAGGGCCTTGCCTACTTGCAGGGACAGGTGGCACTAGGCATTGCATGCTCTGAACTTGACGTCGTTGGCCCGTACAGGAGAGTCCTTGAACTGGGCACCTGGCGCTTGGACACGGGCTGTGTCGTAGCTCTATGGTTCCTGCAACCGTTCCTGGCTACGTCATCGATAACGTTGCCTGAGAACCTTGCCAGACGAGCTGTGGACTACAAGGCAAGGTTGCAGATCCTTGAACCACCTTCGACTGGTGCTGGTGACTGTAAGCTCAACAGGCACAGGGACAGATACCAGGTCATGGGCAGATACGCGTCAATCTGCACATCGATTGCGTCCA